AGCTAGCGACTGTCAATGTAGCTCCGTTTGCGGCGATTTAAGGTGCACAAAACAATCAATATGAAATAAAAACAATTTTCTTAAAAAAACTCTAATTTTGAACACTACCCAGCCCCCCCCCCTCCTTCTTTTCAGGCTTAATACAGCCTTAGCGACACCCCTGCACCATACGTGAGAATATCTTAGATTGCAAAATTCAGCAATATTACATAATTTTCACTTTAACTTCTCTCATTAAAGAAGAATCTTTGTCAGTCAAATAATTAATGCAAATACCACACGTAGCTTCCTTCAATGCTGCAATATCTTGCTTCATAGTTGCTGAATTTCAATAAAAAGAATTCCTTTCAAAATTAATGAAATCCACAATTTCTTCTTAACTTACATCATGTATAATAATTACAAAATTTCCGATGGTTTGATCTAGTTTCAGTAATGTTCAGTAATGTTACAGCAACCACTCAAATTATTTCTCATTATACAAACCACTCATATTAGCACAGCAGCAGAAATTTTCACTACAATAAAATTCAATTTAAGTCAGAAGGCTAGACGAACTTTTCTACTCTCCTTAAACTTAATAATAGTGTGAACACTTATAACAAGTGTAACGAAATTTACATAAAGTAAAAGTATTAAGTTGAGTTTGGCTTATGGCTGAGACTTTTTTTTTGAAATTTAATTTTCAAATATTTAAAGTGAAAAATGTTTTCTGTGTCAATTTGACTTGTTCTTAATGCATTTTCTCTGTGAGGTATGATATTATTGTTCGTTTGTCTGTTTGGCTGGCTAGATTTGGTTTTTTGACCAGAACCTAAGTCAGGCTTATACTTTTCAACCGATCTTTCTTAAAAACTTTTCAAATATTTTTCGACCGTTAATTTTTTCAAATTCTCCAAAAATGCGCTTACGTCAACCACTAGCTGACCACAAAGACTCTAGCTCTTTTTTCTCACAGAAACAAAAATGTTGCTGACTTATGCTACTGTTAATGTAATAGCATACTTTCATATGTCTCTCTTATACAAACGTTTGAATATTTCATGTTTTTCCTGTAATAAATTTTTCATTTGGAAAAAAAGGAGAATTTAAATAAATTTTTCTGTGTAAAGAAAAAATAAATAAATTTTTTCATGGTTCGCTGAAAAAATACAAAAAGCGTTTTTCTTTTATTTTATATGGAATTGAAAAATAAAATAAAGAAGGAAGAAGAAGAAGAAGAAGCAGAAGCAAAAAGGAAAAAAAACGAGTTGGATAAAAGCCCTGCAAATATTTATTGAAGAAAGCAGCTTTTAAGCTTCCCACTGCTTTCAACATCCAAATGAATTAAACTTCTCACTGCATTTAATTTGAACCAGAACGTATGACCAGCTATACTTGAGTTTAAATTAGTCTTTATTATAGCCTTCATATGGGAATATTCTATATAATTTCCAGAAAATTGTAAAGCACCGCTGACCAGAATAATTTCATTTTTTTAAGCGACAGAAAAAAAAGTTATTATTTGCGGCATGAATAAAAGATTAAAAGGATGGCTTTGAAGCTTTGCATTTTTAATTTATTTTTTATTCTTTCATGTTGATCAACTCGGTTTTGATGGAATTTTATTCCTCGATATAATACCTACACACATGCTTATAAAAATGGATTTAAATAAATAAAACGAATTTAACATGAAACGTTTTATAAAAATTCTATAGAAATTAAGTGGAGGTGGAGGTGGGAAATTTTAAATTTAATATGAATCTTTGAGAAGGATGAGAGTTAGAAACAAACCGGATGAGTGTGGGAAAATTAATTTTTTGAGCTGGTATTGACTGCTGTATCAAAATTTCGTTCTTTTTAATATTTAAAGGAAAATTGTGACCCTTAAAAATTTATGCACCTTTAATGAGTCAAATGAAATGGTCAGAAAGGGTTTAAAATGAGTTTTAACGAAGGGACTAGTTTTTATAGCTCTCCATCCAGCAGCTATTCCATAATTGATAATCGCTGAACTTTACTCAGATGTTGAATTAAGTTAAATTATTACTAGGGTTGGTTGATCCCATGTAGCTTTAATTTCAGAGCTCAGGACTTAGTCAATAAATACTCCTGCCTAAAGGCTTGCGAATCCTTGTCATATCGACAACACTTTATATATAATGATTGAGAGATCTGATAGGAATCGATCCAACGCCTTCACAGAGGGTGGCAGATATCCGTTCTTTAAAATAATAATAATAATAATAATAATAATAATAATCTTTTGCCAAACCACTCGCGCCACATTGGTCTAATTCTTGCAATGACTGAATTACCTACATAAAGCTCGATACCCTTGATTCTACTTTTCAATAGCTCTTAATAATTAAATTTCTAATTTGACCTCCAACAAATTACATTTCTTAAATAATTTCATAATTTTAAACTTTTCCTCAAATTGACGACAAGCTTGAATAATAATTTGAACAAAGACATTCAAAATTTAAGGTTAAGTAACTGCTTGATAAATGATTTATATGAAAAGGTCTTACTGAATAGCAGTGGATGAAGCAATAAAGGTTTCATTACTTTTCAATAATCTAAAGGTAATTAAAATTTTGTTGCTTGGAAACAACAAGGATTCAATTATTCTTCATGGATGGATTTCAATATTGTTGAAGGATCGATGGGATGTTTCTATATTTTGTAACTTTCTGTATAAAGGGGTAGGGGGTCCAAGTTTTGATACGCTTCATTTTGATTTTTAAACTTTCTCACTTCTTCTTTGGTCAATAATTGATATGTTACAAAACATGCGAACGCCCATAATATGGTAATTTCTGTGAAGTGTCTGAATCGATGAAGGTTCACAGCTGAATTTAAATATTAAATCCTTTTTTCACCATCATCCATTCCTAAATCCCATTACGAGGCGTCTTTGTTTGCATCCACTGGAAAGTTTTCAATTCATATCGATCAAAAGCACTTCATCATGCTGATTCACAATAATCCGGCATCCAGCAAGATAGCTGTTGCAATTAGTAACAATCTAGTCATAACAAATTTCTCTATCTGACTCCCATTCTATTAAAGTTATTGGATAGAAAGAAGAACAGAAAAAAGCATCAAGAAATTAAATTTCACCGCTGAACTCGGTTGTTATTGTACATTTCCCAGTTCATGCTCGGAAGCGATAAAATTTCTTTACTAATTCACAGTGAGATTGCTAGAGACGCTGTAATGTTTCGAAGTTTCTTTTTTGTGTTAAAGAATAACCTAGTTATCTAAATATTTATCGTACATTTTATTGAGAACATCCAATAAGGGGTCATTTAGATATGACGTCAAGTGCATCATTTTAAAAATGAGGGTCTGATAGTAGATAGAGAGTTCTGAATGGTGGAAGGGGGTTTAAAAAGAGCAAGAGTGTCTAATAGGGGTGATGAGGGATTTAATAAGAGCGAAGGTTGATAGATTAGAGCAAAGGGGGTCTAATATGAGCACGTGGAGATCTTGGAGGAGCAAGAGGCTTTGATATAGGGAGAGAGTCTGATATTTCTTATAGTGCACTGAGCTTCAAATCTTTTTTTCGTGGTGGACATCATAAGTAAACGACCCACAGCATTAAAAAAATGCTCTCCCGCCACGACAGAATACAGCAGATAAAAAGTTTTTCATTTTATTTTATAAGCTTTATCCACAAACATTTTTGTAGCTCCTTTTTATAAATATGAAAGAAATATAAGATACACATAAGGACATTGGCAAATAAAATTACATAAATTTTCCCACATTTCAAGATAACCTTTGAGTCTCAACTTAAATTGCGGAATAAACATTTTCCTTGAACTTTCGCATAATAGAAAATTTAAAATTCAAATGAGACGTAAAATTTCTTTCCTTAATGCCCATCTCAGACTCTATTCTTGTGAGTAAGTTAAAGAAACGGATGAATATCCATTTTCTCGTTCTTCTTTGTGTATATGTGCATTATAATCATTAAATTTTCAAACAATCGCTCGGAAAAATGTGATTTAGGGGTGTTCAAGAATGGAAAGAAGAATGGGAAGTTCCGATTTCATCACCTTAAGTGCAATTTTCTTTGTTGCTGTTGTTTCTTGGAGTCTTTAAAAATTCATAACTCTTACGGAATACAAGATTTCTTTTGTGAAGGTTGTATTCAGCTTTTTTTGGAAGATTTGAAGTATTTTGAAAGAATCTAAAGCTTTTTGAAAGAACATAAACTTTATAAAAAAATAAGAGCTTTTTGAAAGAATTAAAGTTTTTTGAAAGATCAGAGCTTTTTTAAAGATTAATAGCTTATTGAAAGTATCTGAGCTTTTTCAAATAATCTGAGCTTTTTGAAAGAATTTAAGCTTTTTGAATGAATTTGAGTTTTTTGAAAGAATCGTAGTTTTTTGAGAGAACTCGAGCTATTTGATCAGATCTTTTTGAAAGGATCAGAGCTTTTTGAAAGGATCAGAGCTTTTTGAAAGAATCAAAGCTTTTTGAAAGAAGTACAGCTTTTTGAAAGATCAGAGCTCTTTAATAGATTTAAAGTTGATTTAAAGTTCTGATCTTTTTCAAATACTCGATCTTTTTGAAAGAATCTGAGCTTTTTAAAAGAATCGGCACTTTTTGAAAGAACTTGAGAGATTTGATGCTTTTTGAAACAGTTTTAACTTCTTGAAAGAACTTGAGCTTTTTGAAAAGATCAGAGCTCGTTGAAGCTTTTAGAAAGATTTTAAGCTTTTTAAAAGAACTTGAACTTTTTGGAAAAATCTGAGCTATTTCTAAGAATCATAGCTTTTTGTTTGAATCAAAACTTTGCAGATATCCAATATATTTAATCAAATTCAAAGTTGTTAATGCTCAGCAATTCCGTGAAATTGTGAAGCCCTAAAAATTCCATTTTCCTCCTTTGTCTCATCTTGAGTCTCACGTGCTTATGTAAATTTCATTGCATGAAATTGCATGAGTTGAAAAAAAAAGAACTTCCTTCAGTGATTCAATTATAAACTAATTTTATATTGTAGGTAAAATGATGTAAAAATAAAGAAATATAAAGAGGATATGTAGCAAGTTTAAATGTTACGACTAAAAAGTTCCTTTAAAAAAAGATGAAAGTGCTTGGAGTGATGAGAGTGAGGTAATACAATGTAAATAATAAAAAAAAATGAAAGAAAGAACAGTGAAAAATTATCATTAAATATAAATGAACGTCGTGTACAAACATCCTAAACAGACACACAAAGAAAAGAAAAAAAAGTGAATGAGTGCGAAGCATAGAAAGAAGAATGAAAATTTTATGCTGTACTGTGTGTATATATAATAAGCATAAGCATAACATATAAAATAATAAGAAAGAAAAAAGAAAGAAACGAACAAACTCGTGAGGAAAAACAAACAAAATCAGGCAACAGCAGCAGTGACAGGCGGAGGAAGGAAAAGTCTTTTTTCCCTCTTCTCTTCCTCTTTTCTGCCTGTTCATTTTAATTTCGTCTCCCAGTTATGATGATAAAAAAAGTGTCTCCTTAGTCGCATAATGAGTGGATGTGTGAATGAAAATTAAGTGAAAAGTTATCATCACCATTTAAGTAGCACATTAAGCAGCCATCATGAAGGAACGTCTTCAAAATATGCAAATGTATTCTATTGTTGGCATTTTCGGGATACTGGTGTACTTAAATTCTCTGCCAGGCAATTTCGTTCATGATGATTTGCCTGCAATAGTTTATAATAGGGATGTGCTCGGTACTACCAGTGTATTTGATATGCTATTAAATGACTTTTGGGGTATGCGTATGAAACTTAAGGAGTCACATAAATCTTATAGACCATTAACAACTTTAACATTTCGGTGAGTTGCTTGTCTTTGCCACTGGCTTTTCTTAGCGCATTTTCTTAGAACGAAAAAGAAAGTTGTTGTCTGTGTCTTGTTGGTCTGTCTGTCCAAGAAAATTTTATGTCAATTTATTTTTCAAAAATTTTTTGGTCGTTAATTTTCAAATTATCTTCTACAGTTATTCTTTTCAAATAGTTTTTTACCGTTAATTTTTCAAATTTTTTTCATTCTTTAATTTTCAAATATTTTACAGCCGTTAGCAATAATCAGAGAAAATGCGCTAATATCAGCCACAAGTTGATCAATATTAAACTTTAATTTGTTTGCTTCTTTTACGACAAGGCTAAGAAAAAATTTCATTGTTGATTTTGGTACTTCCTGGAATTTTTTATCCACAAAAGACACTGCTGGGGCAATTTATTATCTCGCAGAATTTTTAATGATTTACTCTCTATTTAATTTATTGTTTTCAATTATAATGGAACCAAATAAGAGAGAGAGAGAGAGAGAGAGAGAGAGAAAATAAAATTGCGCAAATAATCCTCTTTGAAACATTTTTCGGGGAAATGCCTCCATCCCCTCGAAAAAACCCACCAAAAATTTCATCTAGTGCTAAACTAAATGAGAATTTTCAATGAATCCACATCATTCTGTGTGCTACACAAAACAGCTTTAAAAATTGTTTATCGAATTATCCGGCAAACCATGAATGTGGCTATTGAAAATTTCCACGTATCGTTAAACGTCAAAACATCACCCTTCGATATGATGAAGGAAAAAGTTTTTGTGCAACATTTGGTCGAACGTAGTTCAAAAGGTTCTTAGTCCTTTAACAAGAAACATGCGTAGCTGTTAAAAGATGTGACTCACAATTGAGGTTAAAAGTATTATGAGTCAGATGATTTTGCTTCAAGTTCAAAGGTCGTATTTTGCTGTTGTGATGATGAATTGAAATTGAGAATCTGACTTGATTTTTGAGAATTAAAATTTCTTATTTAAATTTTTATTACGGATTTATTCTGATCGCTTTTCATGTTCATTCTTGGAAAATTGAGGGTTTTTCGTCGAAGCAGACATTACAAACAACTACAGGGTGAAAATTTTAATTTAAATACAGTCACCAGATGATGCATTTATATTCAGTCATGTTTGATTAAAAATATCAATTTTAAAAGTTTGATTAAAAATATTAATTTTAAGTAATTATTTTCATGAATAAAATATTTCAGGGGTTGAGTCTAAGATTAGTGACTGACAAAGTTCAGAATTTAGATTTTTTTCGGCAGTTTAAGTTTAAAATTTGAATATTTTTATCAGTTAAAGTTCAAAACTTAAATTTTTCGCCATTAAAGTTCAATATTTGAAACATTTTCGAAGTTAAGGTTCAAAATTTGAACAGTTAAATTTTCAAAATTTTAAATTTTTTGAGCGTTGAATTTGAAAATTCCAATTTTACGAATAAAGTTCAAAATTTGAATTTTTGACTGTTTCAGTTCAAAATTTGAATAAATTGTGACAGTTAAAGTTCCAAATTTTAAATTCTTTAATGAAAGTTCAATTATTTTGACAGACTAAAGTTCATATTTTGCTTAAACATTAAAAATAAATTGAAACTCACCACCCAAATTTTAATATTAATTTTAAAAAATTTCTAATGAATTAAAACCCATTAGCACCACATTAAAAAAAGTTGTGCATTAATTTATGTAATGTAAATGAAGCATCAAATGCTTTATAACTTTTATTGGTTAAAAATTAATGATGCTGGTTACATGTTGATAATAATAATTATTTTTGATTGATCATCAAGACTGAAACAGTACGAGACATCAACAATAAATAAATAAAATCAGAAAAAAACTTTCATGATTGAAACAAAAGCACAGTAAAAATTGAATAAATTTAAATTTACATTTTGAAACAAAAATAAAGATTGATGATTGATCGTGGTAGTAACAAAGAGGAAAATCTGCCAACTCATTAATTATAGTCAAGATTGATAACAGCAATAAGAAGTTGCCTAGCCTTGTCGTAAGCTTCGAATGAAAACTTTTTTTATTAACTTAAAATAAAGAAAGAAAAGAAACTTTTTCTTCCTTATTTTTTACGACTTTTTTCTTCAGTTCAGTTCCATTATTGAAAAATCTCATTTGATGTTGAATCAATTACAAAATTCTCTAGCTGCATGTTCATCTCAATTCTGGAACTGAAAAAAAAAAAACTTTGTGACAACTATTTTTAATACTCTTTTTTTTATACTTTACGATCTCTTTTCATTTCCAATTTTTTGCAACTATGTCGCACGAAATGCAAACATACAAAAAAAAAACTTGAAGATTAAATCGAATGATATTTGGAATGGAAACTGCATTTTGGTTTCATGTCGTCAACGTTCTCCTACATTCGATCTCATCAATTCTATTTACAAAAATTTGCTACGAAGTCATCGGTTTTAAGAGAAAATATTGCTTACTCGCTGGAATTTTCTTTGCCATTCATCCAATTCATACAGAAAGTAAGTCCTTTCAGCTTTTATGTTTAACTGTCTATCTCTATTTAGCGGGGTCGTTTACAAATGATGTCAATTATAACTATGCAACTTACTTAATTTTATAGTTGTGACTTTATGAATTTTTTTGGTGTATTATTAAGTGATGTAGCTTGATATTAGGCAACATAAGTCGTTGTTTTAGTTTTTGAAGCATGAAGAAGTAAAGATTCGAACCTTAGGATGATAAATTAAAAGAATAAAGTATAACCTTGAATAACAGAATCCCAGTGAGATTCGAACCGAAATCCTACAATCGCTTGTCACTTGCTCCTACCTCTACGGCTATTGAGACTTATTGGGATTTATTAATCAATAATGACAAATGTCATATTTAATATGCACACCATTTTGCTTCTCTTACAGCAACATGATTATTTTAAATTAGAAATAAGGAGTCCTATGAATAGATTTGAACATAAATATTGAGTATTTGTAGCAGTTAAGTGTCTCTGCAAACAGAAAACTAAGGCGCTAATCTAAAACTTGGTATAGAAGCTTAAAAGTCTTTAGTTTCGATTATGTGACTAGCATTTAGCTGCTTTATGAACTAGATCTATATAACATTAGAACTTTTGGTAACATTTAATTAAGTAAAGCCTCAGTATGGCTGTGGTAGGAGGGGATTTGAGGCCAAAAATCCCCAACTTCTTGAAAATGAGCATGCCACGAAGTTCCTTTAAATTTTAAAACTAGAAATTATAACAAAGATTTAAGGATAACCTTATAAATTTGATAAACCAAAATAGAAGATGACTCTTGCCAGCTCCCCAACAGAACATCATTTGTGAACGAACCCTCACCAATTTTTTAATGTACATTTTTTTTTTATTCAAAAAGCGCACACAAGACATTTCTCTTGTATACGTTTCATTTCTTTTGTGTACCTTATGCTATGTGCACTTTATTTAAAAATGTATTTTTCTCTCTCTCTTTTTTCTCTTCCCTCTTTTTTCTACAACAACAACAAAAAAGGTGTTTCAGGTATTGTGGGACGAGCAGAAATTCTAGCATGTACTTTCTTTTCACTGTCGTTTCTATCATATCACAAGTACGTAAAATAAAAGTTTTTTTATATCTATTTTTTTTTTCCTGTTCCATTCTTGTAATTTTTTTTACCTCCTTTTCATCTCAACATGAACAGCCATGCTTGTACAATGGAGTCAGTTAGATCTTTCTCTATCGCCTTGCTTTATTCTTCCCATGAATATTTCCTAAATTGTCATGTGAAAGACGTTTGTCATATAAAAAAAAAAAAAAATTCTTCCTTTTTTTGTTGGAATGTGTTTTTTTCCTATGTGCTTCAATTTATATAGATTGCTCATCTATTATGTAGCTTCTTTCGTGTATCCTGCTAGCCTGGAGATAAATTTCATCTATAAATGCTAGATAGATAGATGGAAAGGAACTAATGGTTAAGCTTTATGAATGAAGCTTTTCAATGATTAAAAATACTTTTATGAGAGATTTTAGAGAATTGTAGCTTGAAGCTTGTGCATCTGGAATGGGAGTTTAAAGTTGGAATAAAACATAAAAGAAGTTTGAGCTGAATTAAAATTTATTTCGGACATTAAATAGAAGATACATAATGAAAAAATTGAGTTAATTTTAATCAAGAGATGTTCCAAAAACCTAAGCAAAAAAAATCATGTCTTAACATCTATGATCATTATCTTGTTTAAATGCACTAAGTATGATAATTATTTAATTTATATTTTTTCTTTCTTTCTTATCAGCATCGTCACTAAATCGTAGAAATAATTTAAATTCTAAATCCTTATTTGGTCGACTAAATACTCGTCGGAATTTAAATTGTTCTATCTATTTCCATGATATTATTGATATTGTTGGTAATTGGCTCCATACTGCTGGCCATATTGTTGTTGTTGTTGTTGTTGTGGCTGTTGTTGCATATTTCCAGCCCCACCGGGTGCTTGGAAGCTTAATGGATTACCGTTTCCTGGTCCACCGCTTTTCATTTGTCGTTCAATAGCTTCAGCTTCAGCAACTTGACCAATTTGACGATAATAAGCTGCCCATTCGCGTCTATAATCACCTTGGCTATCTCCTCCTCCGCCTGGTGCTGCTGTTGGAGCTTGTGGCTGTGGTGGATTTGCAGGTGCACTTTGCGCTTGAGCCTTCATTTGAGCTTCAATTGCATCCGCTTGTTGATGCATTCCCATAGATCTATAGTATTGAATCCAATGTAATGAATAATCAGATTGTCCAGCTCCTCCTTGTGGTCCTGCTCCTGGTCCGGGCATTTGAGCAGCTTGACCTTGATTGTATCCACCAGCTGAAGCACCCCATTGGCTCTGAGGATTCTGAGCATTAAACTGTTTTGCAGGTTGACTAACGGTTGCTGTTCCTACATATTGCAAATCAATATCCATGTTGATCTTATCTTGAATGAGTCTCTTTGCTTCCTCAACTTGATGTTGATCGCCTTTAATTGAGAAAGTTTTTTCATCCATCTGATTTGCTGACTTATTTCGGTCCATTTCACAGTGGGCTCCACTTTGTTGGTTAATCTGCTTGATGGTATCACCACCACGTCCAATTATGATACCGCATTTATTGGACGGAACAGTGAATTCATATTGTTGAACTTGAACGCCACCCATTGAGGAAGACTGGCTTTGTTGATGATGTTGTTGTTGGAAATTTGAACCACCTCCTCCTGATCGATTATTAGACCAATTATCATTTCCCCCACCTCCTCGACCGCCACCTCCTTCACTATTTCTACGAAGTACACTGTCAATCAGTTCCTCAATCATAATCTTGCCTTCATCAACTTGCTGCTTTGTACCTTGAATGGTGCATATTCTGTCACCCGGCTCATCGCCTTTTGTCTGAAGAATCTTCATTGAGCAGCCAGTATCGGATTGAATCTTTTTGATCATGCTGCCTTCCTTACCAATTACAACTCCAACTGCAACTTTAGGTATGACAATTTCAAATTGATCACCGCCTCCTCCACCATCACCACCTCGTCCAGCATTGAAATAAGCACCACCATGATCTTGCATGCTTCTCTGATTTTGATTTCTATTAGGCTGATCATTTCCTTTATCTTGTAGAAGTTCAAAAACAAGCTGCTTTGCATGATCAACTTTTTGTGGATCTCCTGAAATTTTCAGAAGTTTTTCCATCTCTTGATTTGGACCGTCTTGAATGATGACCATTTTGGCACCAGTACGCTCTTGTAGCTGCTTAATTGTCAGTCCACCTTTGCCAATAATTAAACCAACTTTTGATCCGGGGATCATCATCTCTGTACAACTATTAGCACCAAAACCTGGTCTTGCTGGACCATTTCCACCTCCTCCTTGGCTATTTTCGTAATTTGGTGATCCACCAGCCTGTCCCTGGGGAACGAATTTATTTATAAGTAGCTTTGCTCTCTCAACAGCTTCTAAATTAGGTTGCACGTTCTGCTGATAGTTTGGCTGACTAAAACGAGCAGCTAATTGAGCAGCTGCTTGCTGTGCTTGTTGTAAATTTGCTGGACTCATTGAGGAATCGGAACCACTACTAAATCTTTTTGCGCGTGGTTCGTTGTCGTCGTCGTCGTTTGGTCGCTTATTTGGGGCGGCTAATTGAAGTTTGGCAGCGATTTGTCTGGCTTTCTGAATTGCAATTGACTGAGCGTTGTTATCACCCAAAGAGAAATTACTCATCTTAAAACAAAAATGAACGAAATATCAATTATTTTCCACTATTTTAGAAATGTTTGATTAATATTTTTTCTCTTCTTGACACTACTACTTCATAAGAATCTATGATGCGATTTATTTGGCTATTATTCTTGTGAACGCGTATATATTTACTTTTTCAAGAAATAATCTACCTGTTTTTTCAAACTTTAGTTACGCGTTCCGTTAATTTTCTCGGAAACTTTTTTTCTTTTTGTTGTTATTTTTTGTGGATTAATGTTTTCTTTCGAAACATTTAATTTTACTATTCTAGATCATAATACCTTATTATGATGTATAGTTTCGACCTAATCCGAGGGGTAGTTTAATGAAATGTAATAGTTTTTGCAAAAATTTAACGGAAAACGTACAAGTTCCTCATTCCTTATTTATTTTTTACACTAACAAAATTGTACTAGATTCTTTTTCTTTAATAAATTTCTTTCTTTTTTTTTTTATAAAAACCGCATCTATTGCAATGAAAAAAATACTCAACAATATTAAATTCCAAACAAATTTTTTTTCGGCATTTTCAAAAAAATTCACGCGTTTCGAATTTAAATTTGAATATTTTATTCATCCAGCATGCGGTCGTCAAAAAGAATTTATTTCACTAACAAATTTCAAATACTTTAAGCTGCACAAAAATTTCCATAACATACCTAAAAATCCAATTTTTCCTCAGTCCACACGAATCTATACTTTTCAATTCCACCGGTATGATACACAAATGTTTTATAGAAGAAAAAAAAAATTGTTACAGAACGTACGACGAACGGATGTAAAATACCGCGGATTTCATTTTTCTCATGTTTCGTAAAGTGTTTGAGGGGAATATAAATAAATAAGAAGACAAACACATAAATGGATTGAGTGATATTGTGGACTTACGATGCTGCTATGAGTGATCTATGTTTTTAAGGGTTGTTCGTAAATGACGGGGATCGTTCCATTGTTACTACAAAATTTTACAAGGAACTCTCACACTTTTTTTATTAGTATTATGCAGCCAAGGGGCATTTTTATGTAGGAAAGGGATTTGATATGCTGTGTTCAGCAATAAAAATCAATAAAGAAGCTTGTATACTTAAATTGGCATATTCTTGAGGTTTACTTTAAGGGTAGCTCAAATCAAAAATTGTCATCGTTAAAGCCTCCATTTTGTTGCTCCTAATAAATTTTCTTAACATTAAGGTGCCATAAATTCTAAAATCCATTCTAAATGATGGATCTCATAAATAGAAAACCTTACTTTTGTCGACTTTTGTCAAGAAAACATAAAATATAAAGGAAATTTGATCCAGAGCAGAGCTAGATTATTTCAAAGTTAATTGTAGCTTTACAATTAAGAGTTTGTCAAGCTACAACACTCAAAATCAAACTAATTTTTTTTTCTTTCATGACTTTACTAGTGTGACTAAAGTACGACGGTATGAAATGTCCAATCACTTTGAAATTTTGCCAGAATCAAGTCCATATTACGTCTTATTGCGTCCACCAAAAAAATAATTGCGTCCTACTTTGTGTGACTGGATAAAACTAGTTCCAGTTTTGGGTACTTATGCCGTCGTACTTCAGTCGCACCTTCACTGTATCTACTAAAAAGCGATTTGATTCTAATTGTAAAGCTACAAAGAGTTTTCAAAAAAATTCTAATGCCTAGTATTGGTTCAATTTAGATTCTAAAAATTCAGCCTACAAGCTGAGCTACTGAGAATCTTATCACGCAATTCTAAGTAAGGATTGAATCCTTATCATACATGGTCTTACAGAAGAAAGTCAATCTAGAAGTCAATTAATCTGCTTCATCATTTGAAAAATATCTAATTTCGCACCATAAACAGCTTTAAACTAACTCTTCTTTGAACTTTATCACTTGACGTCATAAGCTAATGAACCCTCCTCGTAATGCCATGAATTATTAAGGATGTTATTTGAGAAAACAGATTCGAGTTGATGCAAAAATATGCTGAAATGACGATGAAAAGAAATTTTACTATCGTAAAAGACGAAGAACTGTTTGAAATTGGAAATTTATGCTTGAATGAATAGTTTGAATTTGAAGATCTTAATAACACTTCTTGTTCTCAATTAGTGTGAGAAAACTGTCAGTCAAGCAAACATTCAAGACATTTCCCGGAAATTTTGTCGAAAAGTTTTTGCTTCTAAATTAAAGAAGTTTTAGAGCTGACAAAACTAGGGCATGTTATTTTGGTACGAAAATATGCTGCAGGAATTTTTCAGATGAATTGTTTATCTGTTGTCAAAAATTCCATCTGTGGTTTTAATTATTTTATGAAAATTCTTTGTTCAATTTGCAGCTTAAAACTGTGCTATTCAAATTTTTCAATGGTTTATGCTCAATAATCTCCATTAATTGGTTTTAATTCATTGGCGAATGTAAATTCGAATTTTGTTCGACTTTTTTTTCAAAGGATAATCCTCTTAAAAGTTCAATTATTTATTTATAGTACAAAATAATTGGCTGAACAAATAAAATATTGTTGATTTCAATTTACTCGAATAACAAGTTGTACCTACACAACCAATAATGATTTTCTAGATAAATTTTCCTTTGTTCCTTTCATTCAATACATTGAGTAGCTATCCACAGAGAAATATGATTAATTACTGATTGGATTTGATGAATCGATGGAAGAGGAAAATGTAGTAATTGGAAACAGCACATTATTTCATAATTCCAAGTGCTATTATTATGCATTTTAGTAATTGGGTAGGATGAAGTATGTACTTGGAAATTCAATACACTTGAAGTTTTTAATTAATCTAGCCAAGTATTTTGTCTGGCGAAAATTTAAAGGATTGATATTTTCCTGTATCTCAATTAGCTGCCATTCTCAAGATTAAATCATCCTGATCTACACGTCAGGAATTAGCAATGAATTCAGTGTAACTAGAAACTTTAAAATCTAAATTTATATCAATTATATATAAGATCCAGTCAATATTTTACTTTTACAAATAATAATAATTGTATAGTCATAGAAATCGTTGGAATATTCGTCATACTGAAAATCCGTGATAATGGGAATCGAACCAACATCTTCACGGAAATTCGCAGTTTTTTGAATAGCTTCTACTGAGATCTTAACCCGTTCTTTACTAGCGTAACATATATGTTACGCCAACTTTTTCTTAAAATTCTCTGCAGTAATTGATTTTACATTGAATCTGATTAATGATTTACATTTAAAGCTAGATCAAGTACCTTCCCTAATACTTTATGCTTCTAATTTATGTAAATTGGAGAAATTAATTAAACTTTTCTCTTACATGGAAATTTTAGTAATTTTGAAACTCAAAATTTTGACATTTTCTGTCACATTTTTGATCAGAACTGGACAGATTTATAAAGTAAATCATCTATACTTATAGTTAAAAACTCATTAATAAAGGAAAAGAATAGTTAAATACATTAACTATGTGACGATAGTAAATGTAACATATATGTAACGCTAGGAAAATCTGATATAAATTGCCCGTTACATATGTGTAACGCTAGTTTTTTGCAAGTATTTTAATGTTTAGGATTTAAAATATAATTTAATTAACTAAATTAATTTGGCTATGAATTAAGTCAAATCATTAAGTGTACTGATTAATTATGATAAAAATAAGTGATTCAGTGGAAAAAATATTAGAATGAGTGCTTTAAAGAGGATTTTTTTATGTTTGAAAAAATTACCATCAAAAAATTAAGAGAAAATTTGAAATTGATTTTTTTATTATTTAGAGTAATTTTGAGTGATTCATAGTGCATTAGTTTATAAAATAGAGTGTATATAAGGAGCTAAGTGAGGTCCAAATGCTGAGAAATGATTCATTTGAAAGATATGACATAAAATAAAAGCGTAAATAAATTAAGGTTTTTTCGTTAATCGGTGCATTACAGTATTCAAATTTGACCTCTTTTGAAGTAAAACAGCATAAAACTAATAATAAATTATGCTATTATTCACATATGCTAAAGAAAAAGGAGAAACAAAGGAATTAAATTTTTTGGAAGAAAAAAATTTTTGCTTGCAAAATCCTAGCGTAACATATATGTTACGGACGAATTTTGTTAATTTTATTAAATCTGTTCATTAAATTGAGCCAAACTCTTCGTCAAACTTATTTTTATACTGCAATCCATCAAATAAATACACTCTAATGTCCCAAAAAAATTCCGTAATTAACGGGTTAATGTTATTTTAGCAATATTTGCTTACATATGGCTTAAAACGCAGGCTATATAATATTGGTTTACTTACTTTCTTCCTTCCTTGGCTATGGCGCACTTGAAGCCGATTGCCGCGCTTAGAGAACGTCTGAGGACTGATCTATTCTTTGAAAGGGGTCGTTTACTTATGACGTCCATCAAAAAACCTGATTTTTAGACTTCCCTCCCCCCCTCTGTCACAAAAATTCTATAGAAAAAATTTCCATTGTTTGAACTGTCACAAAATCCTAGACCCCCCTCCCCCCCCCTAAATGTCGGATGTCATAAGTGGACGGCCCAAAACCTTCTGCCAGTTCGTTATATTGAAGACTCTAGCGACCCTTTCAACATATTCAAACCAGGAATGCTATTAAGGTATTCCCACCCTGAGCCTCAGAAACCTTCTTTCATATACTCCTTTACCTTAGCAAACATTAAATTCCCCTTTAGAAATAAAAATCAATGTTTTCAATTACGACGATGAAATGTAGAAGAATTGAATAAGTTTCAAGTTAAAGACGATACCCAATTCGATCTAAATTTGCAAAAAAATAACAATAATAATTTTATTCCAATAAACTTTTTTAAAAATGCTCTAAAAGGATTTTTTTGAAGACAAAGTTAGCAGAAGGACATTAAATGTAATGATAATGATTATACTTGAAAATTCAATCATGAACTGTTGATGGAACTCTTTCATTAAATTGGAGTTGATTAAAATTTTATTTGCTAATGCAATGCTGATTTAAAATGGATTTTGTAGAGAAATTAAATCATTCCATACTGTCCATGATTGCTTTCGTAAGGATGAATAATGAGCAGGATGAATAATTAAAAATTTATTTTGATTGAAAATCGTAAATTGCGTCTATCAATGTCTGAGAGTTGTTTAAGGAAGATGAGTTGGAATATTTAAGATTATTCAGTAATATTGTTCCTTATACATCATCTGGGCGATTCCATGAGTAAATGGAACTGAAAATTTTTTGTTCAAAAACTTTTTTAGATTTTTCTGCTTAAATATACATATTTCAACATATATTTTCACTTAATAAGACTTATTATTCATCAATTCATGTGTTATTAGCATTTAATAGTCTTAATAATGCTGCATTTTGACAAAAATATGTAATATGTTTTGCAATAATCGGTTGAAAGTTGACCGATTAAGTGGTGTTTTCCCCAATTTTCTCCTTAATTACAGTAGAAAGACATACAAATAAGATATTGTTATAAAGCACAGACGGTTTCACGTGTGTTTATCATAGATTTGTAACACAACAATGGATATTCGAAGAAATATTGATGAAAATTTAAAAATCAATTTTTCGTAAAGTTGACCGATTAAGTTTGGTTTTTTTAAAATATCTTTTGTCAGACAGATTTAACTAAAAGATTATGCACTAAAATACATATATACCATAATAACAAATAAAATAAATCTTAAATATGGCGTTAAATGAAGTTAATTAAGGAAATATTTACGAAAAATTGAGTTGAGAAAAAAAATTCACTCATGGAATCGCCCATCTCAAGACCTTAATAATCTTTCAGAAACATAATGAATAACAGCTGCTTAACAACCAAGCAAAGCTTAAGGTGAAATATCAAAGATTGTGAGATTTACAAGCTTCAATGCCATAATTATTCCTGTTGGAAGATTTTCTTGAATTTGAAGGAACTATTGAGGAAATTACAATGCTGATGAAATTTTAATTGCAATCTAGAGATGAAGATAATTATTTACCATAGTCAGATCTTCGATGCAAACGACTAAGTTTGAATTTTCATCAATTTTACAGTCAAATTAAATTAAAATAAAAAATATTTGAGACAATTAATTTTTCGTCTCTGAAAAGCAATAAACATTAATGATCACATCCCACAATTTTACATTCGAAAACACATCAATCATATCTCATTACATTCAATTAGTGCTATGAAAATATATATATTGAATATTACAAATCATACACTGATAGATGCAGCTGTATGTTGTTGGAGCTTAAATTAAAATTTCCTTTGATTAATAATTCAATAACAAAACCGGAAAAGTTATAGTAATGGAAATATGAGAAATTTTATTGATGCAGCATAAACAAATTCTATTGTTACACAAATTAGATTTAAATAAATTTTTAAATACTGATATTTTAGGTATTCTAACCAATATTCATCAATATTGCATGTCATTGTAATGAAGAGAATCAGTTCTGATTTTTCGAAGAGTTGTTAATGCGACTTTAAAGTAATTCCGACCGATGTTGAATCTAAGAATGCAAAAATTCTTTAAATCAGTGATGGGAAATGTTTTTTTGAGGACTTTGAGTATCAAAATGGTTTTCGATGACGTCCATTAAAAAATGGAGCCTTTCAACTCAATCCTTCATAAAGACTGACAGTTACGGCATAAGAGAATGACTTCCATCCAAGGGCATTTCCTCCAGCTCTTCCTAGCATGAAGAATCTCATGATACACAGATGACCTACATAATATTACTAAGATCCAGTCTATCACTGACATTGAATCTTATTAAAGTTTCTCAGAGCTTTAAAATTTACATAATTTTATTCATTTAAAGAAGATCTGAATATATTTATGACCACTTGTCGCTTATAACTATCTACTAGACAACAGCTACGATGATTTATCTATTAAGTATGCGATTTATGAAGCTAAAGCTAAATTTATATCAAAATCATTGTGCTGTAACTTGAATTTATTGCTCAAAGAAATTGCTTTTGATGATAAAAATAAAAAATAAAAAAGTTCAAAAGACTGGAAGGTTCGACAAATTTTAAAATGCTGTGCTTCATTCAAGATAACAACTTCTTTTGAGTGCGAAAAAAAAATTATTCTCAAATTAACATAAATTGTGAAGCCTTTTGTGCCTGTTCAAAGGAAAAAGTTTCGTAGTTTACCGCTATGATTTGGAATAAAAATTAATTATTCAAAGGCTCAGAGAGAAGAAGTAGCCTCGTAATTAAATCTATCTGTTCTAATTTTTTTTTTGGAAGGTTGAATCTTTAATGGCATATGCGGTGAGGTGGAAATCTCTTTTGTGCTGATTTTAAGTATTTGTGTGGCACAATATAACCGCTAGAGTAATGTAATGGCGTTGTAAGAGCTCTAAAAGACTTAAGGAAGCTCTGAAAACTGTCTTCTGAATGCAAAAATTGAGCATATCCCGTTCGGAACTAAGTTTTAAGATTCAATGCTTAATGAAAAACTGCAGCATCTCAAAATCACTTAAAACTGCTGTTTAGACATAAACAAATCATTTGATGTGGTAACTAGAAACTATAAAGTTTTAAATCTCATTCACTACCATCCAGACTTTTAATTTGATTCATGCGGACGGGAAACTAAAGCAGTCACATAAAATTATCCTCTGAAACGTGGAAAAAAAAATAAACTTTTTATGCTGAAAAGTTTCAATTAGTTTTATAAAATAAATGAGAAAAAAAAATCATTTGAAATGCACGGACGAGTTAATTTAAAGCTTAAAAAATGCAAATGCTTTTAAAACATCATCCGTTCAGCATACATACGAAAAAAAAGTTACAAAAAGCGATTTATATATGCAAAAAATATACATAAACTGACTTAATCAATGTGAAAAGCTACAAAATTGCTTTTTTGAATGAGGAATTAAAAGCTAGCTTTTGTATATCCAAAAAAAAATTATTCCTCTCATAATTGAAAAAAAAAATATTTAAAGCTATATTTTTGAATGTTTAAAGAGTCGTTCACAAATGACGACAACTGTGAGTCTCTGAATGACAATCAAAAATGGTTGGTATTGATCATAAGCATCGTGATAAGAGCGGCGAAATCCCCAAATATTCTCTTTGTAGACGTCATTTATCAACGATCCCACTTTTACTAGAATTTGAATAGATGAGGGAAATGAGTAATCTTCAAGTTCTTATTCCACCCTCATAATGTAATTCCTTAAATCTCTTCTATTGAATACAGGCATCTATTTCACAAAATGACTGTAAATGACTGTGACTTGAAGAAGGTTGTAAGCATCTTCATCTTGTGAAGAGCTTTCAGCTTATTTTTTTACTCACATACAACATAATCCATTGAGTCAATTATGTGACAAATTTCATGACACAAAAAAAAATTGTTCCTTAATTCCCATGATTGGAGATGAAGGAAGGAGGCGCAAGAATGAACAGGAATTAATGACAAATGTTTAAATATTTTATTAATAAAATTTTTTTCTCTTTTTACAGTTACATCACACGAGATATAGACAACATAGGAACATTATTGAAAAGTATATTGTTAGGTGGCTTAGCTATGCTTAGTAAGGAAAGTGGTTTAACCGTATTTATAGTAAATATCTCGTATGACATTTATCGCAATTGGTCAATAATAAAAAAGACATTCCACGACGTCCGATGGAATCACGAGAGTTATCGATTAGCAAAGAGGATGTTTAGTGTACTAGTCAGTTTCATATTTCTGTCGCTGGCGCGTATCGCATTACTACAAGGTTCTTTGCCGAGATTCTCACAACAAGACAATCCGGCAGCATTTCATGCAAGCTTTCAAGTGCGCCTTCTCACATTTCTGTATTTATCGTCCTTTAATACATGGCTCCTCATATGTCCATCTCAATTGTCGCACGATTGGCAAATGGGATCGATACCACTCATCATGAGCTTTCGTGATACAAGAAACATTTTAACGCTCATTACGTTTGGTGTGATTTTGCTTATTATTTATAAAATCTACAATGACTTAGAGGTAAGATTTACAGATATTTTTAACATTATTGTCGTCGTTATGCTTTTGCTGCTGCTCCTTTTTATCAACTTACTTACCTATTTGTAGGGGGAAAATCGCTTGGTGGAAAAGATTCATAAATTTTCATCAGTAAGATTAATATTTTTTTCAAAACTGGTGGAAATTGTGGTGTTTTTTAAAACAACTTTTCCCACCAAGTTGTTTACCCCCTTGCAAAAAAGTGTTTATTTTCGTGTTGAGATTCTTAAACCTCGTGGATATTAAATTTAATTTTTATGCTTTAAGGCCTCAAAGGCACAGAAACTCGAAGAATATATTAAGCAAAGGTCATTCGAAATAAATTTTCAAGCTTGTTCCTTTATTGCCATTGAAAATTCAATTAGTTCCAAAAGAAAATTCTCAAAGTCGTCTGTTTATGCTTTTTATAAGGCCAAGGTCATTCTGCTTTTTTATTTTTGGGTTTTCGGATCGTATAAAAATAAGAGAATTATGTCTTTTAAGAATTTTGGGGTTTGAATTTCGAGAATGCTGTGGATATTATTAGAAAATATGATATTTATGAAGATTTTCTGTTGTGAAATTTTCTTTGCTACCATTTGCGATGCATTAAGGCATTATAAGCTTAATAAAAATGTCAAGGAGATTCTAAATTAGAGAAACGAGATTATTAAATTTTTTATGCACAAAAAAATAATGGAAATAAGGTTTGGTAGCAGAGATATAGCTTTAACTGCGGGATGGGGTAACAATGTTTGTTATTGAGGATCATCCCGAATCTTCTTCTAGCTACATCTCTTCTTAGCTATTTTTTTAAAAGCAGTAATTGAAAGATTTTGATGCTGCTTTCTTTATATTTTTATGAATCCGTGCTAATCCCACAGTAGATGATGGGAAATGTTCATAAATGATGTAAAACTTCTAGAGTTCTGGCTTTGTAAGATAAAAATTTTATGTCTTAAAACTCCAATTTTGTAAATGACATCATTTATGAACAACTCCCAACAAGAATTTCAACATTATCATAATTTGTAGACACAGTTGGTTGCGGTATCATCTAGCCACACAATTCTGCATTCCAGAAACGCCATAAACTGTCAAAATTGGTCTGAAAATCTATTTCCTCCATTTCAACAGCTCACAGCATTCCTCGTTACCAAAAACCACAAATCTTCAACACTTTATCCATTCCTAAATCCATTTCAACAAAGAAGTAACCTCAAACTCTCAGCCATAACTCAAAAGCAGCCAAAATCTCTAACAGAGACTTCTCAGCTGGAACCTCTATTATCTCCGTTTACATAATTCACATTATCATTTAGACAAGTTTGTTGTTATTTTTTTTTAACAATTATCTCCCTATTTACACCCTTCATCTACTTTGTTTCCCCTTATTTGCCGCTGCTGCTGTTGCTACTGCTTCCTTCAGTCTATCTATCATTCCATTTTATCTTCTTATGTACAGAAAAAGTTTTTAATATTATTAACAACAATAATAGGTTAACATACATACAGCATCAGTACGTAGTAAGTAAGTAAGTAAGTATGTGCCATGAGAGAGAAAACTTTTTACATCGCATGAATGTGCGTTAAGTTTGGTTGGACCATGTCTTTATGAACATAAAAATATGTGTGCGTATACATGCATACATTGTAATTAAGCAAAGTGTCTATTTGTAAAGTGTACACATATCCATAACACGCACGAGGTTGTGAGGGAAGAGATGAGGAAAAAACAAAATCATTTTTCCCATCTTATATGCTGTGTAGAAATGTGCATGTTAACTAAAGTTTACATATAGTTTGGCATATACGATGTTGAAAATAGCAGCAAAAGCATAGCACATACATATGTGTAGATATAACAAGCGAACTAAAAGGAGAAATAACTGACATTAATTATTTATCTTTCTAATTAGCTTCAGCGTCACGTCGCACTAGTGTTAGGATTCATATTGTTAGTCTTTCCATTTCTACTCCCTGCCAGCAATTTACTTGTGACTGTAGGTTTCGTCTTGGCGGAAAGGATCTTATACATTCCAAGGTAATTTTCCCTTCACTATACTTCCTTCCTTTTTGTATTACACACTCTATGGTCTTTATTCTTTCATTTCATAGAAAAAAGATTTTATTTTATTTCTCATTCTTCATCTTCTTTCCTTTTTTTCTTTTATAAGCTATTTTTTAAAAAGAAATGCCCGGTCATATTTAGTCTATCTGTCTGTTCGTCTGTTGGTCTTCTAAATATGTTAAGTTTACTGGTTCTATTGAACTACATATACTCTATAGAGCACTTATGTTGCATTATAAAAACCTAAGTCTGTCTTTGACTAGCAACTACTATGTTGGGAATAAATCAAAATAAGAACTTACTGTTCTTAGAAGACTTTTTACTCTGTTCTCTTTTTAAAAGCTTGAGAAACACAGTTTTACATCGGAGTGAATTGCTAAGAATCAGCATGGAGTGTACTTAAAATATAAGTGGCGAAATGGAGTTTTGTATTAGCTGGGAGGGTTAAAACCAGATAACAGTAAGATATCTACTGAATAGTCAACGTTTTGAGGTTAATTGAACAAAATGAAAATATTTCTAGGTTGGGCCAGAGTAGGACCTTAAAGAATGAACACCTTTATATATTTTGCAGTGGCAAATCTCATTGTTTGCTGTCAAATGGGTTGGCAACATCTATCATGGCTCCTCAATGGCAATTATTATTATTATTATTATTATTATTATTATTATTATTTTATTTTAAGCTTTTAAGAGCCAATGCTAGTATATTTTGATGTGCAACCTTTGAAATGCAGACTTAGCATTCATTCAATGATTAACTAAGGACCATAAAAATGAAACTATCTTCAAAGCATGAAGAATGCGCTTTAGTCAGTCATAAACGCCCACATCAAAACCATTTCCTCCATCTTCTTCTTCCTTCTCATTTAATTTCTTCTCCTTTTCTTATTATTCTATGCTGATGCTTCCTGATGCTCGAGTTTAGTTTTCCTTTAGAATATAAAAAGAAGCTTTGTTATGCGCTAGATTCCAGACTGATATGGATGGAAATAAAAAAAAAAAATAAAGGGGTGAAAAGAGCACTTTGAAATTTCTATTGAACTTCTGTTGGAAAGTTTGTTTTTAAATGTTATTAACATAAATTTTTATTGAATGATTTGCTAATGATTATCTCATCTTTCACAGATGTTCTTTCATTGTTAAACTTTTGCTTCTACTTCTTTCATTAAATTTCCTGATAATTGAATATATTCAAGGTTCTCAAAAAAATTCATCCTCAAGCTTAAAGATGGAATTTTCCTTCAATGTTTTTCTTCCAGTTGAAAAAGTTTAATTTTTCATGAATTTTTCTTGGAAGCAATTTTGGCGCTTGGAATTGAATTAAAAATTTAATGTTTTGAAATTATTGAATGAAAAAGTCTAACATTTTCAGGGAAATTCTAATCTTTAAATTTCGTTTGAATTGTAAAAGAGATTTAGGTCTGTAATATTTAAGCTCTTCAATCTTCATTTTCATGAAATCAATATCTAATAGCTTTATATCTCGATGCAGAAATTTTTAGAAATTCATGAGAATTCTCTTTGCAATCAAATAAAGAGTTTTAGATATTTTAAATTATAAAATAGCTTGAATGATGAACAAGCAATTTCGAAATAAATTTGCTTTTAGATTATTTAGAGCTTCACATAAACTTGATGCTTCAACTATTAGACAGCAAATAAAAAATTCACAAGTTTCAATCAATTGTCAGATGAATTTCAAATAAATCTTTTGTAAAGCAACTATAGGAAATTCTTGGAGTTCCTTGTTGTTTGCTGCAATATTTAAAATGCAAACAAAAATCTATGAAACTAAGTTCAGATTCTAGATTCTTCATTTAAGAACTGAATTTTGTTTTCCAAAATGAAGCACAACTTCTTAATCTCTGATGGAATGTATCAACTGGCATTTAATATTTAAATTGAATTTGCAACTGTAATTAGCTGTTTTTATTGTAAAGTTGCTAGCTTCTTCATAGAAATAAATATTCTGGTTTGGAAATCGAAGGAAAAAACTGGAAAAAAACATCTGCCTTATTAAATTAAATAAAATAAGCTTTAGTCAAATCTTCAACATTTCAAAATCTTCATCAAACTTAAATTTATACCTTAAAGCAATTCAAACAAACAGAATTAATATGAATTTATATCCAGTCTATAATAAATGTCGTCACAAACATTTCAATAGCAATCAAAAGCAAAAGCAAAGACAACTTTCATCAAATGACTGTCAATTACATTAATGTAACGAAAATTACTCCAATATTTCATGTGACTGCCGCTGGGGGATGTTTGGATATACCATTAATTTCTATCCTTTTCACCAATTATGACTGTCATTGAAAGGATTGAATCAAATAACCCATGAGCTTTAAATGTCTTCAGTTAAAGTTGGTTGATGACACTTAAAGTGTCACAAAGTAGCGTTAGGTAGCTTCCGTCACCAAGTGGGTAGCAAAAAAGTTATATTAATTTATTTATAAACCAACCACTTGTCTATCTTTTAATTTTTCATTTTTGCCATGCTTTGTAATGAATTTTCATAAAATAATTATAGAAAGATGAAAGGTATTTAAATTTTTATACCTTTTGATCAAATGAAGGATCGATTGAGAATTTTTCTAACACCCATTATGATTATTCACCCTAATTTTTCAACCCACAGCATTTTATTCCTCAATAAAAATTTTAACCCTTTCCGAAAGCTTTTCTTATAATCACAAAAAAAAAAACATGGAAACAAAGAGGAAAGACAGCAGCAATAAATTTTTTTATTTTCTCATTACAAATCAAAATTGATTACAAGGACATCTATTCAATTATTTACAGCAATGAGTAATCTAAATTGATTATTTCGAAGAATTTGTTTTTCATTTACAAAATGATCCTATTCAATAAAATAAATTTTTATAATTTGGGGTCGGTTCGCTTGTTGTGTAACACAGGGTGTTTCGACTCCCCCCTGCTAAGGTCAAATATGTTTTAGATTGGGTTTCTAGCTTTGAATGAATGAGGGTTGGCTTAGCAACTTATTTCAAATCAATGCCTGCAGATCATAGCTAGGTTTGAATCATCCCGAATAGCGCAAGTAGGTTAATCGATCAGACATTGACTGTCGCATGGTGCTAGAATCGACTTGGATTTCCTCTTGCAAGAAGATTTCTGATCGATTAGTGGACTCGTGCTATCCGGATACTTTGAAGGCATTTTGCATGTTAAAGAAAGAAAAAAATTCTTCAAAAAATTCTTGAAAGAAAATCTAAGAGCTTCATTTCTAGTTATTTTATTTGAAAAGGTTTTCGATTGCTGTTTTGGTGTCACTGGGTCGTGGTTTCTAGTGTTGGTCTGCTTATTCTAGAGTCCTAATCCTTAACCAAGCAAAAGAGTTAACTAAAGCCTCATCAACATGATTAAATAATAAATTTAAAAAAATACGTAACAACTGAATGATCCCCAAATCTTTAAATGAATAAATTACAACCCATCCATCATCCTACGCCTTAAAAAACTTTTCTTGGATATAAATTTTCAGCAAAAGAATCAAAACTCATTGTTTTGGTTTCATTACAGTGCAAAAATCTTTAGATTGTTTTTATTGGATGTAAGATAAAGGCACAAAAAATAGACCTCCGGGTTATTGATAAGTTGAAAAATAGCAAAAAATTTATTAATTTATTTACGATTACAAAAATAAAGGGAGACTGAAATAAAAAATTGAATAATTTTAGAGGATTTTATGAGATTAAATTATCTAATTAATGAGCACTATGAATGAAATCAGGGCAGGGATTAATTCCGCAGAATCATCAAAGCCTTTATATTCTGATTTCAATTAAAGGCGATAATCATTCAATTTATTTCAATTATAGTAATTATTTCAACCGTGTACTCATTAAATTGCTTAATTGGGGGGATTTTCATACCGAACTTCCATCACCAGTCGGTTGTCACAGATTATAATCCTACATGAAAATTTTTGTGCTTCTTGGGTCGAAAATTAGTAGAAAAATTATGTTTACGGACTTTCTTGAAGCGTTTTAATTTTTTTGTCGGTTTTGCGTTGTTGTTCTCATTAAATTTAATGTCTTCTTTTTGGAAATGACAGTCGGAAATTTAGTCGTAATTAGCTTTGAGTTCAAGGTGGATATTAGCGCTGTTTAGTCAATTAAAATGCTAGGTTATGAAAATGCTAAGTTTTATACGCCGATTTGATTACAATTTCAAAAGTAAACTCCGCTGAGACTCATGAGAATAGCCAGAGGATGCAGAGAATCTGGATCAACTCCTCTAGATTCATATTAGGAGAAATACAAAATTCTGAACCCTATTGCCAGTTATGTATATGAAGTGCATAATTAGTTTTTAAACTCTCAAAAACTACATCGACATCATCTATGAATGATCCCTAATGACATTTTAATACAATTGTGACTTCACATCTGAAATTCATACTTAAGCATCAAATATCTTTAAGCCTCCATAAACCGTGTTCTAGTATCAAACACCTCCCACCATCATCATGACATCTGTCACTTGAACTAATTAACGGCACTTTTTACAAATTACCCTAAGCGCTATCTCCGCTCATAGTTTATTGATAATTAATAAGCTATGATAATTTTTAAATTAGTTACTGAATAAATGGAAAAGTGAGCACAACTGCTGACACTAGCTGTAGCTGCTTTATAGACACCGTAGTCATTAAAACATTATCTGATTCATTTTTCAACATGAACAAAAATTTCATGTCTTATCGTACTCATCTATCTCTTGTGAACAAAAAAAAAGTGATGATAAAGGCAAAAAAGAACTTTTGTGATGCTGCTTTGGTAATTTTTTTCATTACATTGGTTGGTTGTGTGGGTGTGGATGTATGTTAGTGTCTCTTCAAAGCAGCATACATGAATCTTTAGGCTATTTGATGAAATTTTTTATTATTATTATTATATTATTGTGGTAGTTCTCGGAAAATTAATATGAAGAGGCCTTTTGTGCTTTGGGGGTTTGCTGATAAATGACGTCAAGCTTTTGTAATGCGAGGGGTATAAAGCTGAATTACATCAAACACCAACTAAAATTATCAATTTATTATGGACGTCACTTATGAATGACCCCAAATGAGGTCTACCCCCACTTGCTGAATGACCCACCCCAACGCTTCTAAATGAATTCAAATGAAAATGCTTTCAGCATTGTCTAATGTATTCTATTTATGTCCACTAGAATGATAAAAGCAACTGATTTCATGTTGAATACACATGTGTCCAGTTTTTGCTGCAGGAAATGGAGCATATTGCTCAGTATTCGACAAAATCTCTAAAGATCATTTCCGAAAATAAACACAAAAAGCCTCAATATCGATCAATAATGGAGTTTCACAGAAAAATGTCATTCAATCACTTTCAATACAAATTTTTGATGCCTGACAAAAATTTTCTCTTTTGTTTCTATACCCAAATAAATTTATGATGTGGATTACTTTTAGAACAGCCTAGAAAAATTGAAAAAGCACTAAACTTTAATTTTTATGAACCTCGGTCGAAAGGCATTATGACAACACACCCTACAAAAAACTTGTTTATGTTTGTCAAAAATTATCATAATTAAAAAGTTGGTAAAAAGCAAACTTATTTGACGCGATTCCGTGACTTTTTGGTTAAACAAACCCATAAAGTCAATAAAACAACAAACCAAACCAAAAAAAAACTCATCAGACTATCATAAAGTCTTTAAATTTGACCTATAAAACATTGATTCTCTTATTTACATGCATGACTATAATGAGTTGGAACTTCACCAATTCTTTTTATGAAATTTCTCTTCTTCAGGATTGTTTTTCATGTTAATTTGAAGCAATTGACATGCAATTGCCATAATTGGTCTATGTACTTTCTCGATCAGAGCTTAATGTTCTGGTAAACTATGTTTTGATTGTTTTGCTGGTAAATCAACTTGCTTTATAAAATAAATGAATTTTTAATTGAGTCAGAGTGAATGTAGACTTTGCGTTTGAAACAAAATTAAATTATTGGCTTGATTGTTTGGGTTTATTGGATTGGAAATAATAAGGTTGAGAGATATTTTGACAGAATATATAGCTTTGTGATGAATTCAGTCAGAATTGAGGAGTTTGCTTATAAATGCTCTTAAATTCACTCTCTAATTTATGACAGCTAATATTTACAGAGAAATACGGGGAAGTGATAGAGTGAGGGAATCATAACCTCCCATTTTCAATTAAAGTAAGTTTCTAAAACCTGAATTAATCTCTTTAATCTTTCAATCATCTATACTAAATTCATAACCAATAATTCATTCATTGATAAATAATTTATCATCAATCCTACATCAAGTTGTATGCTAAGCAGTTTCGTTGCTTACCAACATAATTTTGTTTGTCATTACTTATTTACCTCTACAATATATTTTCTTTACTGGGTCTTCCATCACAATTCAAACAATGCGGAAAGAAAATTAGACTGTAATTGAATTATTTTTTGAGAATTTAGGTTAGAGTTCCTTTTTATGACTAGTGAAAATTGTAGCAAACGTTGCATATTTGAATAAGAATTGAGAACTAGTTAAGGTGTGGATAAATTTATTACTGACAAAGGCGCATTTCTGTCTTACAGAATGGCAACAAAATAGCTAGTTGCATTTAAAATTCGCAAGCAAATTTTCTTTGGATTTTGAAACCAGAGGGGGGGATTGTCTTTGATTGAGTCGTTTGTGAATGATAATAATTGGTGAATCTAAGATGTGGCCTATATGTTCAGAAATCATTATGAGCCAGTTGATAAATCAATCTTCTTTAGATCCTACTAGGACCGTCCTTAACTAAGTTGATGAATGTCAGGAAGTGCGAGAGGTTTTTTTTTTGGTACTTGTTTAAGTTAAGCAATAAGTCCAAACATTCTAGTTTCCAAAAATTCTTACAAAATATTATTTATATTTTTAAGCATAAAATTGTCACTTATTGTTACGATATACTTCTTATATTTATTGTTAAATATAGGTTTTATAAACAATTATATTTGAATAAAAGCACTGACACTGTTAATTAAGCTTCAGTGCACTCCGAAGTCTTACCAAACGTACTTCGTATATTTTATTATACGTTATCACCGTTTTCACGTGTGAATCTATTGGTTTTGTTCAGATTGAAAAATCAGTTTTTAGAATTTTGTGAGGATATGGAGCAAGATAGCTTAAAATGTTCAGAGATGAAAAGTTTGTGCCTTGAATTTCACATCTTTTGCAAAAAACAGATTTGAAATTGGTTGCGGCATTGCTGAGAAAATCGCAAAATATGCTTTCTGTAAGCAAGCAAACAAGCAAACAAGCAAGTTAATCAGCAAGAAATCTCAATAACGAGACATCGTAGAGACTTCTAGTTTTTTACATTTGATCCGTGCTGCTCTATAGAAGAGCTGTATTGTTTTTGGGCAAGGTAGGAACAGCCGTTGCTTCAGAAAAAGCAAAAAACTTTCCTTTCTTACGAATTTTTTAAAACAAAAGTTGACTGTGATTTTTATAAAATTCAACTTTGGATAAAAAAATTTTTTAAAAAACTTTTAAAGAATATTTGGCATATTCGTCAAGCTTTATACCTTCAAACTTATGCTAAACGAAGCTCAGCTGACACTCTAGCTTTATATCTTCAAACTTATGCTGAGCGAAGCTCAGCTGCCTCTCTAGCTTTATATCTTCAAACTTTTGCTGAGCGTAGCTCAGCTGACACTCTAGCTTTATATCTTCAAACTTATGCTGAGCATAACTCAGCTTACGCGATAGCTTTATAACTTCAAACTTATGCTGAGCGAAACTTAGTTGACTTATCAAGCTTCATACCTTCATACTTATGATGGGCAAATCTTGGTCTATCCATAAGACTTATGATAGTACGGTGTGAATATAATCCGCATTGGGTTTCTTCCCGATACACTAGTTTATTCTGAGTCATCAGTACTCAAAGCTTTACTGTTGAAACCCATCCTCAACAGTACTTTAGAACCAATTTTGATCATATCTGTCTTAGCTTTAAATAAAATTAAGCTGAGACTAGAATATGGTGTACTAGCGTGTCCTAGAAACAAGTCCTAAGAGTGTAGTCAAACTACTTCAATCAAATTTTCTGGACTAGGGTTGTCCAAACTGTGTGCGATTTCAGTCATGACTTACCCCTTAGGTGTGCCGTCTATACCCGACTATACTTGGACAAAAATATCTGCATCAACATTAAAAATCAATCTAATCCATACAACCTTACTCAATTCATACCCTGATCTTTTCATTCGTTATGGAATTACTACTTTCACCTATTATCCCTTCCATCTATTTTTCAACATGCAGTTTTTTTTCCTTCGCCTTTTCACTTCTTCTCGAATAAGAGCTGAATAATAATGGCGAGAGAAAAGAAAGGGAAAGAAAGAAAAGAATGAAGAAGTGGAAATTTTACGATTACTTTACCGAAAAAAAGTAGTAACTACGATTATATGAGCACATTTTGTCGCTTCATGACTCTATTAAATACATTTCATTTTCATTTTTACTCTTTTTTGTATCTCTTCCAACGTTTGACGTTTCGGTATCATTGGATGATGTGGTGATATTAAACATATGTAGCATGGGCTTCAGCATATTGGTACTTTATGGCGCTCAATTACTTTATGAGAATGTGTCAAAAATGAGACGAGTTCTACAAGTATCGGGATTTTTACTGCTCTGCTTCTTCTGCTTAAAAACTATTTCACGAAATCAGGACTGGCATACGAGAGAAACTTTATTAAAGTAAGTAATGAGGAGGTGGAGTGCTTGATGCCATAAAATATTTATTTTGTACACTTAGTAAGCACATTGTATTACATTATTAACAAACTTCTTCTTTCCCTTCTTACTTGCCTTCTTTTCGTCCCTCGCTTTATTGTATATCTTTCGTGTTTACATCACATCAACAGATCCGGATTAAGAGTCTTACCAGCAAACGCAAAAATGCATTATAATTATGCAAATTTCCTTCGTGACAGTTCGAGATTTGACTTGGCAAAACATCATTATCGTCGTGCACTAAAACTATGGCCGAGTTATGCGTCGGCATGGAATAATTTAGGAACACTCATTGACGACTTTGATGCACAGGAAAGTCACTTTTTAACAGCCATTTATTTCTCAAACGAACATATTAATGCGCATTTCAATCTGGGTCAACTGTATAGGTGAGTATTGGAATAAGAAGCCAATTTATACGCAGTTTTTATGCTTGTCAGAAGTGTAGCTAGGGGAAGAAAGACAGATGCAAATGGAGCTTCCATTTTCAATTTCAATACCTTCCTGACTACACCTCAGATATTCATTCGTTATTTTTTTTGCGAAGCAAATTTCCGCCCTCAAAATGATTCAACAGAAATCATTTCTATTTTTTTTTCATTTTCATACATTAAAGCAGGAAAACGAATCGGAGCTACGAATCGATTAAAATGTTTGAAAAGTGTATCCGCTACGATAAAAATTTTGTTCCGGCTTATTTGGGATTATCAAAACTAAAAAATGGAATAGATTCAGGATTGCTATTGAAGCATGCATTAGAGGTGAATGCGGAAAATCATCTCGTACGATTGGAATTGGCAGATTGGCTTTACTCAAAACGTAAGTACAAATACACATGCACACATTGAATTGTGAATGGAATTGAAACTTTATTCATGTTCAGTGTTTATGCTGCTTCTGTGCACATTGTAGAATCCTCTTGCATTTATGCGATTACTGTTGATAGGATAGACTAGGAAGAGAACTAAGAAAAGATAGCATAAAGGTTTCCCTTCTTTTTCATAAATATTAAGATAAAATAAAAAATCATTGAAAATCGGCTTTATGTGCATTCATTCTAGACTTATAGAACTTTCTATTCAATTTTTATTTCATTTCATTATTGATATTAAAAAGCACTTGCTGTGACTATGAAGCATGTTTTGTATTCATTTATTATTGCATTCAAAGAATTATAATTTCATTTAATAAGCGAATGAAAGAATCAGGTTGAGCATTCAATGCTTTTATTACTAAATATAGTTATTTGTAGAGTTCTTTGTGATTGATGATGGAAACTTTTTATCAAAGTAAGATTCAATGAGGATTTAAACTTATTAATACTGTTCTGGATAATGCTTTTTTTTCAATTAATTTTGATTGTAGAATTTTACTTTTTCAATGTCTTTTTCAAGCCTGAATTGATTGAAGTTTTGGATGAATGTTTACAGCAAATTTTTGTTCCGCGATGCTCAACTGATTGCAATGTGTAATGCAGACGACCCGAATGGCATAAATCGGTTAATCGAATAGAAATCTGGTGCTCAGTTGGCATAGCTCTGGCATGGTGCTGGCTACGTTTTAAATCCAGCACCAAGCCAGACTCACACAAGCTTGGTGCCGGATTTCTATTCGATTAACCTACTTGTGCCAATCGGGCAAGGTCACAGAACATGACACAGAACAGTTATAAAATGAGTCAAATATCAAAATTAAGATTCATTTCGGAAACCTTCAACAAGAAAGCATTAACCAAAAATAGAACAGATTCAAATATCAAATGGTCTTATCCTTCAAGCCTACAATTTTGCAAATAAAAAGATTTATGCAACCATCATTTCGCAATTTCACGAAAACAATACTTTACAAAGATAATACCGACTCGAGAAGCTTAACTTTACTTAAAGCTTTACCAAACATAGCATAGAATTGATAAATCTTTTGAGTAGCAAGCACTTGGCAACCGTTCGATTACATTTTTTCGTAACATCGACACTAGAATGTTGTCAAATGTTAACCTTTGACTTGTTTGGCATATAAGCCACAACATGATTTATTAATCTATAAATTGATAAATTCTTTCCCACGAAACTTTTGTACATCGAATTGGAAAGATATGCGAGAAAATGCGTAGAGAAAAATTGAAGGTTCAAGCATGAACTTTTCTTTTGTTTGGAGTGCTTCCAACAATAACAACAGAAAACAGCACATAGCATAAAAAGCGTTTCAATCAACAAAACAAATTTAATAACACATAAACTTTTCCTTATTATTATTCTAGGCTTATTCATCGGAGCATTCAATAACTACATGATTGCAATTCAACATGAAAACTCCTTCCAATTGTCTTTCGTTACGGGCTCATTGAGAGCTCTACGGAGTCTAGGCCACAAAGAGAGAATGCATCAATTAATCCTGAGGTAAGAGTCATTCATAATCCATACAATAAAATGTATGGAAATTGCTGTATGCTTTCAACATTTAGTGGTATTAATACACAATGATTTAAATTGTGTTCCTTTCTCTCTCACATTCTGTGTGACATTAGAACGTTCGTACAACATATATACATAATTGTGTATTGTATTAAGTCTATATGTGCTGTTGGCTGGGGTGTTTCTATGATAATGAAAATTTTTATAGCTTGAGTGGATGCTTTAGAATAAAGCTTGCAAATTGTTTGATTTACGTAAGTGCAGGTTTGATGAAGGGGATCGTTTACTTATTACGTAACATTTTTCAAGAAGGGTTTTCTAAAATTTTGTGACATTTTAAACAAAAAGAAAATTTGTGATTGAAGAGAGAGTCATTTTTTGGGTTACGTAATAAGTGAATGGTCCCAAAATTTAATTGCTGTAGAAATAATGCAAGAAAAATCATTTAAATTGATGCTTGATTTCAAGGGGGAACCAACTTAATGGTGAAAAGTTTTAATGAAGAATTTTCAACAATTTTCCTAAATTTAGATGGAAACTCAGTCAGAAATTGATACGAAGTTCACCAAGAAGTAGAAAATTAATCGAAAATTTTCCTTAAAAATTGTTCCCATCACATTGTTTCCCCCTTTGAAACAGCATCAAAAGCAAATGCAGTTTATGAATAATCATAACCTATGTCATTACCGTGAAAGCACTAAAATCAAAAATTCTACATCCTTAGCCTCAACTCTCATAGAAACAACCCAGTAAGCACACAGAACGCATAATGAGAATTTATATCTATGAAATAGATTTTATACAAATTTTGGTCTATTATACTTTCTAATGTCACTTAACTTGTACATATCTAAATATAATTTTATATTGTGTCATTCTCATTTTTCAAACCTGCCTACCCTCCCTCAATGTCGATTTGAATATCAACAACAATAATAATGGTGATGATGACTACATGAAAAAAAAATCATTTAGATGGCAAATAATGAAACGATCAAATCAGGATAAAATTGTCGCTCAAATATATCTTCGTGATTGGAGCGTAAAAACGGAAATTTTACGTAAGGCACAAATGTATGAGGACTCAATAATGCATCGAATGAAGAATGACTGCACAAGCAATAACGTGGAGATTAACAATTTAGATAACATTAATAATAATAATAATAATAACAATATTAATAATAATAATAATAATAATAAGAATATTAAGCTTTATGCGCCACACACATTACATTGTCATTGTAATCGATCAGGCATATATGTTGAGAAAGCTAGCGATTCAACCATGACAACAAGTAAAAATTGTGATATTTCTGCCGATGACTCATCACTAACTTCGCTCAAATTAAAAAGCAAAATTAGACGCCATAAGAATAATTTAAAAATGCGCAAATATAAAGATATTTTTAATAATATGATTAAACCAATGATTGCGATAGATAAGCTATAGTGGTTATGATATACGGAGGAAGATGAAAGTGAGGAAAAGAAAACATAAAAAGCAAGTAAAATTGTTTGGGGATGGAAGTTTTTGGGAGATCTATGTTAAGTTGTTTTTATGGTTTAAGCAAGTTGTGATGCAAGTGAAGCTATACTTGAACCCAAAAGGGGTGAAGAAATTTGTATAAAATCAAAACGGAAACCACTTGAACTCCAAATTAGGAAAGCTGGGTTTAACACTACGTTTGGTTTTCAAATGGAATTAAGAATCACCTGAGATAGTTGGGAACAATTTCGGTTAATTCAAAGAATTAAATATTAACTTGCCAAAAAAACTAGATTGAACAATTTGAGTTATTTTATAGCTTATTTAACAAAAATGACCAATAATGCTGTTCAGAACAGATTAGTAGTTTAAGTTGACATTCTGTCAAAATTCTGGGTAACCACTACAGCTTAGTAGTTGAAGTATATGATTGAAATCATAATATCTATAAGTTCGAATCTTATTGCTTCGAACCCTATGGGTTCGAATCCTATTGGTTAAGATGACATTAGTTCAATTTCCATGGGTTCAAACCTTATAAGGTAAAATCTTAAAGTTTGAATGCTATCCCCGAGCAACAAAAGCTCTCACTTCGGCTATCAAAATCTAGTTTAAACCAATTTCGAAGCATTTAAACGGAGCAGAATTCTTTTGGGTAAAATTGAACAAAAACAGAATAAAAGAACTCCCAAAGACTTTCAAACCCAAAACAAAAGTAATTGAGAAAGATTGAAAAATGTCAAAAGACTGTCTTCATAAAAAAATATGAGAAAAAATAAATCTTAGAAATTTATAAAATTATACATACATTAACTGATTAATTATTAATTACTGCTAATTAATTACGACGCACGTCTTGTTTAATGATGAAAAATCATTTCATTTCTCCGACTTTACACTTTAACATCTCAATCTTTAATCTATTCCATTTCCACATCACACCCCACTTTTTCGCATAGACTTGCCAATGTACTTGCTAATTAAAAAAAAAAGAAAAAATTTTAAAGCAAAAGCATAGGAAATAAGAAGAAAAAGAAGCATAAATTTTATGTTATTTCATTAATTTTGTTTGTTATCGACAAATAGTTTGTTGATTATATTAGAGACGAAAAAAAAACATATATAAGCATAAGATAATTAAATTTAAGTTTTGTAAAATTTGTTTTCCTTCAAGTTTCATTTCCTTACATCCTCGCTCGTAGTGAATGCTGCATTCGAATGCATACACAAAAAATAAAATTAATGAAGAAAAATTTTTAATTGAAAAAATTCTTAAGGATAAAGAAAAAATATCGTGATAATAAATGAGTTTAACTTAGTAGCTATCTATTTAATCAGTCTGTTCAAATAGATGAAAACATGTACGAAATACATTCACACAAGGATAATTACGAATGGCTGGGATGATTATTTATTTTTTAATAAACACACGAAAAACTTAACAAAAAGAAAAACAAGGAAGGAAAAATTGATTTTTTTTTGTAACACAGCAATGGAATTTAGCTCAAAAAAATATTTAACAGACAGATTTTTATCATGCAATATGAATAATTTTATTCTAATTAATTATATAATTAAGATTATAATTAATTTGTTGCGTATTATAGTAATTACTTTAATATTTAGGAAATGAGACAGGAATAGCTGATGAAATAAGTTCATGATTAAGGATTGAAATGAGTACTTAACACAGTTATGAGACTTTTTTTGATGGGGAAAAAAAAGGTATTGATGGATGTTATTGGATATTAATTTGTTTTGAGATGACCTAGATTATCAATCATAGTATCTGATAGTAACTTTGAGTAACACAAAATAAGCAAAAGCAGCATAGAGTGAGAACTACTAATCAATATTAGATCACCCATGACAGTGCTTCTCAAACAAAGCTCAACGATCCTTACTGGTTTACAGTTATAATGTGTCATGTTTTAAAAAGTTTGTGAACCACTTACCTAGAGTGGACACAACATCTTCTAAATGATGACCCAAAAATCTACTCAAAATGTTGCTAAAGGTCAAAAAAAAATCAGGATTTGTAACAGATTCGAAGAAGTAAAATTCAATACCAAAACTGAAATGTTTATAGCATTGCTATTCAATATTAGTACAGCATACAGATTTATAGAGATGCTGAAAAACTCTATTGTTATATAATAGCAATTTAACATCACCAACATGTGACATATTCACATCTCTAACCTAAAATATGATTTACTAATAAATTTATAGCTTTTTCACGAGTTAACGTCATCAAAACTCCATAAAACTAAATCTCAATTTTACTTAAATCCACAAAAAAATATCCATCAATCACCAACCATCCAGAACTGTTGATTATATTTCATATCCCATCAAAAACTGAAAACAATAACTCATGAGTTTAATAAATTACAAACCACATTCAAAAGCATTCCAGAAACTAAATCAACAGTCTAAGACGTAAGTTATTTATCAAAGGGAACCACAAACATAAAATATATGCAAGAGAGAAGCTCAAGGAGCACAGAAAAAAAATAACATTGATGTAAAATTTATTTACCATAAATTAATCTATGTAAGGAGAAACTTACAAGTGACTGAATGAGGAGAAGTAAATTACCATAAGAATTTTTGCTGTAAATTTATGATTTTTATCAAACAACAGAGAATAAAAACGAAAGGGGAGAAGGCAGAAAGTTCAGAATTTTTGCTGCATAATCAAGGGGGGAACAATGTGATGGTAAAACTATTTGATCATAATTTTGCTAAGGGGGATACAGCATGATGGGGGAAAATTGTAAGAAGTTCATTAGAATTACTACTAAGATGAGAAATCACCCTGACCATGATGAGAAACTGTTTAAAAATGCCCATCATGTTGTTTCCCCCTCAAAATTTTAACGAATAATATTCATACCAACATTTAAAGGGAACATTGATATGACATCACATCTGAATCTGGATCAAATCTAGACATCAGTTTGAAATTCACAATCAAAACATTTTTCCCATCATGTTGTTATCCCCCTTTCTACATAATTCATTTAAAAATGAGATAAGAATATTTCAGCTCTATATTTCATGAATTCTTTTTTTCTCTATACTTAATAGTGTCGCATAGTCACAATGCAAGAGAATAAAACATAATAATAATTTTTTTGTAGAGGAGTAGTCAGGGTTTTTTGGAAAAAAATAAAACATGAAAAGAATCTTTTTTGTTCCTTTTCAATGCAGAAACATTTTTTACACATGAAAAAAAAAAACATTTTGTTTTGCTGCTGTATTCAAGCTGTAGCGATAGGGAAAGAATGAAAATAAAAATTTCTCAGATGAATAACCTCATTGACTCAAGAAGAAGGGGAGGGATGGAAAAAAATAGCACCATAAATAATAATAGATAAAATAACATAAACAATAGATTAATCATTACTTACTTATTATCTCTCCGTTTTCACATATGCTACTGTCCCATTATCATCATCAAATTTATATATACGCCATAACATATAATACATACATATAAAACATACATTTATAGACGAGAGAAGAAAAAAAAGCATAACAAGCATTAAAAAGTTTCACTCGGTCTCCGTTCTCATATCTCTTCATCTTTCTCACTCATTCCCTCACTGTTTGTATGTGTGTTGCTACTTTTTTTTACAGAACCAATAATGGATGAATTTATCGCATGAAAAAGCTAAAAAAGAATGTCAAGCAAGCTATTAAGGCATTTTCTGAATGTTAAAATGTTTTAAAATAAATTGTATATTTAGAGGTTCTAGTTTTTTGGAATTTTGAGAGTCGATTTGAGTGAAAACTTAGCATTAGAGGTGCATAAAGGTCAGGGGCGTAGGAGAAAATTTTTAAGGGGGGGCCCATTTTCGAAAATTAAAAAACCGTAATTTTGTATCCTTAAATCTATATAAATTCTTCATAAGGGCTCGTTCACTTATTACGTAACGCAAAAAAACGAGTTTTTAGACCCCCCTCCCCCCCCTGTAACAAAGCGTAACAAAATCTTAGACCCCCCCTCCCCCCCCCCATAACGTAACAATAATTTTTTTCATTTAAATTGTTTATCAAATGTTTATTATACTTCCTTTAAGTATGTAAAATAAACAGTTTTACTTATAACTAAAAAGCAGAGATCGAAGCCGATTTTTTCGGCTTAACTCAATTTTTGATTTTTTTGATAGAAAAAAGCCATTTAACACCCATTTCAAGTATTTAAATTGAACTTTATGTGCTTTACTATGATTCTGTGTAACATTTTGTCAGCATCCCTAACAGACAAAGAGCATGCTCTTGATCAAGAGTACGGTTGAGAATACGCTTTTTCAACATCCTCTCAAGATCCCAGTAAAGAGCATGTTCAATAGCGGACTCAATCATCTTCTAATTATATCAAAAGAGTATATAAAAAGCATGATCATTGACATCCTCATGAGATTATGCTCAAATTATCCTTGCTATATACTTCACAAGCGCTAGCAGAAATCACTAGTATAGGTCCTATATACTTCACAAGAGAAAGCAGAAATCACTATTATAAGAAATTATTTTGGACTTTCTATAGTTTAAATATGTCTTTTCGCCATTTGAAAGTTATTTAATTTCAGAAGGCATTAGACAAGATGAACAGTTATTAGGACATACCACAACACAGCGGACTCGGGTTCAAATCACGGCAATCACCAAAAAAGAAGAAAAATATCAATTTCTGAAAAACATGATCAATAGCATAATCACAAGCTCATAAAATTTTTTAATTAGTGAAATTAAAGCATGATCAGCTGAACATGTTCTTGATCATGATCTCAAGTTTTACTTGCATGAAAAACTTGCAAGTAAAAAAAGCGTACTCTTGAGAGCGTGATTTTTATGGTACCGTACTGCGATCTCCATTTATATGGGAGAGTACGCTAATTTAGCGTCATCAAATTAAATAATTGATTTTTAAAAAGCATGTTCAGAGCGTGCTCTTTGTCTGTTAGGGCATGTAGCTATAGGAAGCTCAGAATTTCAAGTTAGCCGATTTTAAGCCGATCGGCTTAAATTTCGGCTTAAAATCGGCTTAACCTTAGGTTGAAAATAAAATAAGATCACACTTTTAGCAAATCAGGATTTTAAAAGTTTTCTTGTGACAACTAGAAATGTAACATAAGTTTTTTTCAAAATATTGTGATTAAGTCCAAGAACACAATGACTCGAAAAGCGTGGGGCTTTGAGATTTGACGCTTCTCTTACTTAAGAACTTAGTTGAACTAAGAAATGCATCCTTAAATTACGCCCCACGCTTATAGAGTCATTGTGTTCTTGGACTTAATCAGAATATTTTGAAAAAAATTTATGTTACATTTCTAGTTGTCACAAGAAAACTTTTAAAATCCTGATTTGCTAAAAGTGTGATCTTATTTTATTTTCAACCTTTTGGTTTTTAGTCTTTTTGATAAAAGCGTGTTTTTTAAAAAGTTTTTTTAACGTTTTTTTATTTGCTCCTGTTTTGGTCGCTTGGTTTTTAGTCTAAACAACAGATTTAACTTCAAGAAAAAATGTTATTTGTTTTTTAAGTCTTTGGGAAAAAGCGTGTTTTTTAAAAAGTTTTTTTAACATTTTTTTTATTTGCTACTTTTTAGTCTCAATCTTTCAATCGAATATCGACCACAGCAATTCAAATTCAACTCCACTTCGTTTTACTCCGTTTCGTTCAACTGTTTATAGATTACATTTGTTCATTCATTTGTTTTATAGAATTTAAGTCATACCTGGAAACAGATGAAACTTCTTAAAAAATATCCTGAACTTCAATTATGTGCGCTTTCTGTGCTTTTAAAACATTCATTAGTAAAGGACATTAAAAATGAATCTTGGAGATTTTGTGTTTATATACAAATATACTTCAAGCCGTTAATAAATAGAAAAGTAAATTTAATTAAGTTGGTGAAGTTTTATAAATAATGTAATACATTAAAAACAGCATAAATATATGCTCAAACTATGTGTGCTAAATGCATATCTCATATGAATAGTTATTTTGCATTAATTCGTAACGGACTTGTGCTACACGGTTTTTTTGAAAATTCAAATTTTCACTTACGAATATTCATGAAAAAATTACATGTCAATTTTTTTGTCTTACCGGAATATCTTTAGCTGCTCAAATTTATAGTGTAATTAATATTTAGTAATATTAATTAAACTATATTGAATCACATAAATGACTTTTGAGCATTTCAAGTATAATATTTTAAACAAATCAAAATTTTATATCATTGACATTGGATTGTTTTCCCATATAAAAAAGTTTTACTTAAATTTTACTATAATTAAGCATTTTTGTGGTTTCAAAATGTTAAAATATTGTATTGTCACCGGGAATACGTGTGAATAAAAAATTTGAGCTCGATTGGAGCAGCAGAAGTGGTCGAAAAATCGATTGCAAGTTTTGAACGTGACAAAGAAACCAACAGACAGAGCAACTCAATAAAAAGCATGTAATAATAATAATAATAATAATAATAATAAAAAAAAATTGAGTTAAGCCGAAAAATAAATCGGCTTCGATCTCTGCTAAAAAGTTCTTAAGTTAAAATTTAACGTTAAAAAAATTTAAAATTAATATAGAAAAAATTTTAAAAAAATATATTTTTTGAAAAGTTACGTAACAAAATTTAGACCCCCCCCCCTCCCCCTGTAACAAACCGTAACAAAATCTTAGACCCCCCCTCCCCCCCTAGTGCGTTACGTAATAAGTGAACGAACCCTAAGTTTAAATATTTAATTCATTATTCATACATTAAATTTAATTTTTCGTGCTGATTTTGACATTTTTTTCATCATTTCCTCTACATTAACTGGTTCTTCTCTATAAATACTTAATAAAACAATTATCAGATTTTCGTAGGGGGGGGGGGGGCCGGGCCCCCTTGGCTACGCCCCTGATAGATGTACTAGGAAGTGCAATACATGTTGTAACATAATCTTACTTTCAGTAAGATTCTTTTCTTGTCTACATTCATGTGCCAAACATTCTGAAACATTCTGCATCACTCACAATTTTCTCAGAATTCAAATTGACTTACTTTTCTGGGTCATCACCTTAAAAAAGTGTCCCATTGAATTAAAATCACCAGCAATAAAGTCAGAAACTCAACATCCTAAACAAACAAATCTACTTTAAGTAATTTATTCAGCAACATTAGGCTCTTCTGTAGAATGTGAAATAAGTTTTACAACATTCATGAGTCATTGATATAAAGCGAAAAATTCAGCACTTTTTGAGCAAGATGCAGTTGCTATTGTAAGGCTTATTTGATTGTAAAAAAGATTGTCTGAGTCAGCAAAATGGATATTTGAAATAGAAAAAAGAAATCTGTGCACAGGTGCTTAAGTGATGATATTGTATTTCAATAATTCAGATAGCAATTTACTTTATGACTTTTTGGGGGTTGTTCGAACATGACGTCTCTCTAATGCTTTATTGGTATTATCAGGTTTTTGTAGAGGCTGCTCAATAATAAATCATGGTGGGTTGTGGATGATAGAACATAGTGTAGCTTATATATGTAGCATTTTTGAGCAAACGACTTAAAATTGAAAGGCACGGGTTCAAATCCCACGAAGAACCAGAACTTAATGATATGCTTTGTCGGTACCTCACTATACATATCCTCCTGTATAGATTGAACTTCATCTGATCACGCGACTAGTAAAGAAAGCTAGAACCTCTAAAAAAGTAATCCAAATCAACGAGGGATGCGAATGAGTGAGTGAAGTAGAGTGAATTTACACCTAATTAATCTTCAGTACTCGTCATGACACATTTCGTTTCCACTGCTCTTTTTACAGTATGGCAGGAAGAAAAAAAATTTGTTAAAAAAAAAGTTTATTTTAAATGATTACGAAACAAAAGTTTCTCATTCAGCAAATTTTATTTTGAAAGCTTTCAGCTTCTACTTCCATTTATTTTATTCATTCTGTTGATATTAACAGGCAACGACAAGCAGTAGCTGTTACGCATTTAATGTGAAGCATGTATATATATATCACATCATAACATGTATGTGTTGAGTTTGTTCTTTTTATGCATCATTAAAGACATAAAAATCATAACGACTTATAATTAAAGCTTTATGTCTCAAAGACATTTTTTTGCTTCATTTTTTAAGAAAAAAGTGAGAAAATAAGAAAGTTTGACGGAAGTAAATGAATAAGAAAATGACTACCAAAAAGAAAAGAAAATTAAAAAACAAGAAATGTAATAAAACCAACTTCCTGCCTCACACATGGAAGTCAAATAAAATAAAAATTAATAAAAACAAAAAAAAAGTCGTGAGGAAATGGAAAATTTTTTTGTTTGAGGAAATTTTGAAGCAATAGAGTGAAAAAACATGAATTTATCCAAATAGCTAAGATAAGAATGATATTAGTTCATAAGGCATATAGGCATACATACACAAATACAATTCATATGAAAATAATAATAAAAAATGACAGAGAAGAATAATCATGAGACCAGCAAAAGCCCCAATACACAATGAATAACACGTATCATGCAGCATGAAAAAAATATTCAATATAAATTGTACATTTTGAATTGTTTCATATTTTTTTCGTATTTCAATTTTCCTTTTATTATTTCATATTTATGTTAGCGCGTTTTTTCTGGTGATGGATGGGAGGTCAAGGTATGCTTTCGTGTTTGTCTGTCTGTTTATTTTGTGACCTGTTGATTCCTTTTTTTGCAAGTGAAATTTTGATTTATTTTTTATCGACTTTTTGATGAAAATTTTCAAGTTTGAGTGATGAAAACTGGAGATTCATTACTTGGATTGATGCTTTGGCATGGGATGTGGGGATAGGCAACTTTTGAGCCATTGAACTTCTTACTGAAACTTCCAAGGTTCAACACTATAGCCTTAGTGAGAGCAAGACCTTTACAACACTCAAGCGCTTAAATCTACATTTTTTATATCCTGTATCTTCACTGAAGCTCCTTTTTCAACAAGATTCTTTAAGTTTCAAAACTAACTGGATGATGCTTCACTAACTCAATATAGCCCACAATTTTCATCAAAATTAAGAGCTTTTATGAACTAATTTTCCTTAGAGAACATCCTCAAACAACCTCAATGGAGATTGCAAAATTGAAAAATAAAAGTTTATAGACTTAAAAATATGCAATTGAGAGTTTCAAGAGACAAACTTTTTGAAAACTCAAGAATCGTCTTGAAAAGAATTCAAATATTTACAGACAGTGAAAATCCAAAAGATTTGAAAACAAAACAAAACTTTTGGTGAAATTGAAAAGCTTTCCTTATTTAATTAAATATTTTGTATTTAAAGAGAAGAAGTGCTTAAGATTTTAAATGCAACAGGGAAATCGAGAGCATAATTTTCAATTGCTATAGGAACAAGATGTGTTTACTGAGAGCATAAGAGGTAGATTGAAGTAAGAATCTTAAATAAATTGAACGATAAATCTTCGTCTTGTTGTTCCTTGATACAATCTCCTGACAATTGTCAATAATGAAAAAAAAAGCGCAACTGCTATTCATTTTATCATTGACATTTGTACTCGTTTTTGTTCTGTATCCTTGCACCATCATCAACACTGCTCTCCTTTTTTACGTCTTGCCTTTTTTTCTTATCCTTATGTCTCACTCCATAAGATCCACTTAACATCTTTAATATCTGCTCACTTTGTTGCTCCTTTTCTCTGCATTTTATTCTGTTTAACCTTCTTATGCCAGTATCCAATCTCCAATCTACCCCATATCCTTTCACTTACTCACTTACTTTCGCCCAACGTTTATTGTTTGATGAAATAAAAATACATCTTCTTTGCTTCCTTGCCTCTCTATCTTATACAATATTTTTTTTATTCATTCATTTAATCCCCATTTTTGGGTTTTTCTTCTTTTATTCTATGTGAAAAATTAATGAGCCTCCTTTATGGTAAATTTCTCTTCTTCTCACTTCCACAATCTTCCCTTTTTTTTGTTTTTATATTTTAATCGATTTCTTTCATTCTTATTCGCCTTCCGTCTTCGAGAGGCTAAAATCCATAAATTGCACCATTAATCTAAATGTAGTAACATAAACAAAGATTTGGTAATTTGTTTCTCTCGAAATAATTTTGTTACAACACTTTTTTTTATTACTTTACACGGCTTACGTTTACTTGCTCACTTTTATTTTATTTCATTTTTCTGTTCTCGAGTTGTATGTAAGTGATGTCAAACTATGGATTGATTTTTTATACCCCATTATGCACTTTGGATGTTAGCTAGATCAGTGTGACAGTGGTCTAGTGGTTT